CAGAGAGAGACCAAGAGAAAGAAAGTGAGAGTGTATTGTGTTTGTGTGTGAAAGAGAGAGAGAACAGGGAGAGAGGAGAGTGTTGGGAAGGGAAGCACAGAGGAGGGGGGAGAAGGAAAGAGAATTAGAAGGAAAGAGGCAAAAAGATGCAGGGTAAGAGAGTGAGAGAGAGTGAGAGGGAGAGAGAGAGAGAGAGAGAGAGAGAGAGAGAGAGAGAGAGAGAGAGAGAGAGAGAGAGAGAGTTATTTTTTCTATTTTTAGCGACGTTCATTCCCCTGAGCACACCTCTTATGATCAACGATATCATTCTTCTCCTTCTTTTGTTGTTATTGTTGTTGTTGTTGTTGTTGTTGTTGTTGTTGTTGTTGTTGTTGTTCTTCTTCTTCTTCTTCTTCTTCTTCTTCTTCTTCTTCTTCTTCTTCTTCTTCTTCTTCTTCTTCTTCTTCTTCTTCTTCTTCTTCTTCTTCTTCTTCTTCTTCTTCTTCTTCTACTACTACTACCACCTACTACTACTACTACTACTACTACTACTACTACTACTACTACTACTACTACTACTACTACTACTACTACTACTACTACTACTACTACTACTACTACTACTACTACTACTACTACTACTACTACTACTCAGCAATATCATCAATGTCTACCAAAAATAATCCGACTGAATTTCTCCGTTAGAACATGTTTTACTTCCTAACCCTCAGCGATCAAGGTTTATCACAGGTTTATGAAGAAGTCTTTGGCGGAACAAGGTCATGGGCGGATTTTTTTTTTTTTACTTTCTGTTTCCTGGTTTTCACGCGTGCTGTTGTGCAGCACCTGACAATGCTGAAGAAAGAAAAAAAAAGCCGCATTGTTTGTGTCGATGTCATCAAATTATTGAGAAAAAACTGTCGAATTTCTACTACAAGTTTTACTCAGTGAGAATCAAAACGAATTCGAAATTTTTGCTTTTTAGTATAATATTCGAGCCGGTCCATTAAAAAATTTTCCATCAACAGCGAATGTGTGCCTGTCCAACAAACGAACGAGGCGGTGGCTGCCCAGTGGCTTGATGGGTGATATAACAGTGCCCTGGGTTGCGTCATGTATGTCTGGCTGTGCGGCTTGGGTGACGGTAGGCTTTTTTAAAGCTGTACTTTCGTTGAAGCGGCATAGTCTGGAGAAGTGCCTCTTACATAACGACACTGATCTGAATGTGGATTTGAGAGGAGATTTGTCATTGTAGAATTGTGTTTGCTTAGCCGGCATATTGGAACTCATTTTTGACCTGGTTGTTAGCCTATTGGCAGGTAAGTTATGATTTTATACTATTGCCCAATTGAACAGTTTAAACCAACCTCTTTGGTTTAATTTAGGCTTTTTAAAAATTTTGGTTTAGCTTAGTTTCTTTTTGCTTAGTTTCTTTTTTCCCGTTTCCCATTATCTGTATCTAGGCTGAATGCCCGCTTTAGTTAAGGAAAAAAATATCCCTAGGCTACACAAAGAGATTTCTGATTGTGTGTCTTATCTCTGCGTGTGTACACTATTATTTTTTTTTTTTTTTTTTTTTTTTTTTGGGGGGGGGGTATAATGTTTACTTATATTTTTGGTTGTGAGTCGATGTCTTCGCTTTGTTCTATTTAGGATTTATGGGCCGAATAAATATAATGTGTCGAACAACAGATTATAGTATAGAGATCTAGATCTAGATATCTAGATCGAATACTGGACTACAATAAAGCATTGCAGTGTTGCTGAAATAGAGATAAAATGATCATTTCTTGTAAGTAGATTGAAGTTTATTAGATTTGTAATCATTTTATAAAGTTTTTTTCGATGTATAATATCATTCAATATTATATGTTGTCAAACTGTTAGAGTTTACCACTTTACCAATTGTGTGTGTGTGAGGGGGGGGGGGGGGGGG